TTTCAGCAGACAGCCCGCCTTTCCTCCCAGTTTGTGTTGGCCCCATTCAATAATGTGGGTGAGGGTCTCGTGAGAAGCCTGCAAACACAAGCCAGGAAAGTAGATGTGCTCTCACATTTGTCATGCTCTCCAACCACTGCAAGTGGCTACGCAAAGCAAAGAGAGATTAAAAGTACCAGTATCTTCACCTTTTAGCACTGCACCAAAAGGCAGCCTTGTTTTCTTCCTACAGAGAAGGAAGAAAAACTTGGTAGAGGACAGACAGACAGACGCCTTCCACGTGAAAAGGCAAAACCTTTTCTTGTGAAATCCTGGTGTTCTGCTGTTTACTGGCAACAGAAAGCATGAGCCCAGCCAAAGACAAGTTTCAAGTAAACAAAGACTAAATGTTGGAAATCATCAGTATCCATGGTTCTTGCTTAGAACAAAAGGAAGGAAGTCGAATATAAACAGAGGAACAGCAGCACCCGGTAAAGCTCGACATGGAAAACTGTAGGCTCTGTAGGAGCCATGCATGACTGTGCTGGTGCAAACATTCCCCAGAAGGAAGAGATTATCACACCTCAACAGCAACTTATTTAACAGCAGGTAGTCTTGGAGAGTCTTGCACTACATCGCTTTCTCTGGAGGTAACGCCTCTGGGGTGTCCTGGGTTCACACCGTGCAACAGGAGTGAGCAGCCTGTGCCCTTGAATCAATTTCTGGGCACATCACAAGGACCATCTGTTTGAGGGGCTGTGCAGAAGCTGCAACTTCTTGTCTCCTGCAATGCCCAAGAGCTGGAAGGGAGCATGTGCCAGTGTCAGCCAATCAGCTGTTGCTGAAACCATCACCTCCACCTGCAAGAGCCCACCGTGCCCTTGGCAATGCCTCGGTACAACCCAAAGCCTGGGCAAGGAAGGCTTCTTTTTTTCAGTCTGAGTTAATAACTCCCCTAGAACAGACAGAACAGCAGCAGCCCAAGTAAAACATAGCTTGAGGTGCTCCTATTTTACAGTTTGAGGTGGGGCTGGCAAGGGCAAACCGGGAGACAGCAACAGCTAGACATAAAATAAAAGTCCTGAACATACAAAATCCCTTCTCACCACAGCATCAAAGGAGGGCAGATCTCCAAATCACAACAAGCAAATGGGAAAGAAAAGCAACACCTCAGGGCATGGAGGTGGGAGAAGACTTCAGAAGGGAGAGTGAGAGCAGGATCAACCCTGCCAAAGGTGATTTCATTATGGCAGCTCTCCTCCCTCTGCTGTGCAGCCCAGCCTGGCACAGGCACACACTAAATGTAGAGTTTCAGCTAAGACAAACCTGCTCAAGCCAGGAGACACCCATGCTTAGAAAGGCGATAAGCAGAGAGAAGCCCCATGATTCCAAGGAGCATGAGCCTGTAATTCTCAGGTAAAGGAATAAATGAAAATAGGGCTGGTTTTACTCTCCTGGGTACAGTCAGCGTCCCCTTGGGAGGAGAGGCAAGAATGAACATTTACAGCTCTGCTACAGGCACAGCCTAAACAATCACTTTTGCAGTGCAGCTCGGGAGCAGCTTGTTTCAGTTCTTAGTGACTGTTTAAAACACCAGCACTTAAAACACCCAGCAACTGCCACACAGCCCGGGTATGATCCCAGTCATACAAATTCCCAATAAGCAAACCAGTCAAACCTCCCCTTGGAGGGTTTCATGGGTCAGGAAAGGATGCTTCTTTCCTCAGGACATTCTTGCACACCTAAAGCTCCCTCCAGCTGTCTCTGGTGTGCTGACTGACCACAACCAAGTGCAACCAGTGCGATCACCTTCTTGGACGTAGGAAAGAGGCTTTTTGCTAGAACTGTAGTTTCCAACCTGTGTATCCATCTATTACTTCCGAAAGGAACACACAAGATAAACAAGAGCAGTGAGCTATTGTACTGGCTGCAAGTCTGTTACAAAATGGTTGGTGTCTCCACTCCAGCTTTTTGGAAGGGAGTGAAAAACCCCAACCAACCAATCATGCACGTTTCAAGTTGCTCTCTGCACTGCAGGTAGTGAATGCTCCCCTGTGAGAGCTCAGGGGCTGGCTGCCAGAGCATGGCCCCGCTCAGCTTGCTCTCGTGCAGAAGCCCATTACCACAGGAATCTGAAATCTGGAGCAGCCTCCAGGCGCCTCATGGCCATCTCTGCTCAGCAAGCTTCAGCAAGGATGGATTAGGGATTTTTCTCCTTATTCTTCTATGTACCATAGAATCGCAGAATGGTTTGTGTTGAAGGGACCTTAAAGCTCACCGACTTCCAACCTCCTGCCATGGGCAGGGACACCTTCCACTAGAGCAGGTTCCTCCAAGCTCCTGTGTCCAAGCTGGCCTTGAACACTGCCAGGGATGGGGCATCCTCACCAAGTCCTGCCAATCATTTTCCTGTTGTTCCAGAGCAGCAGGCAGGGAGCAACGGTGTCCTGGAGAGCAAGGTAGGAGCTGAATAAGCAGTATTTCTTATAAAGTCTGCAAAGAAACCCAGAGGTTTGGAATGATGATGGATACTGCAGCACAAGAAGGAAGAAGGTGCATGGTAGAGGAAAGGTGGGATGCCAGGATGTGTGATAAAAGGTACCTTCATTTAAACGATGTTCAGTGGCTACTGTAGTTAAATGTTTAACTATGATCAGTTAACTAACACCACCTTGGCAGACTCCCCCACTCTGCCCTTACCAGCAGTTCCAGTCACAGGCAGGACTGAGGAAGGGGATGCACAGGACTGACTGGCACCTCTGGGCTTTCCTGTGATCTGTACACATCTCCATGAGCAGATCTTCTGACAGCACATACATTAAGGATACTCACTGGAGTAACCGTAGTTGTTCCAGAAGGCCAGACACACCTCCCACCCCTATTCACAGGAGCAGAAATTGCAGCGACCCTTCTCATGTCCAAAGTTTGCCACCAGTCTCTCATACGAGAGAAACCACAGCAGCTGGTGCCCACCTTGCTGCAGTTTTACTATTGTACCTTCATCCATGTCATTCAACAGGACTTTAAAAGAGCATGCAAGTTTTAAAACAGGATGGAATTGTACAAGGCATTCTATACAGGACAGTCACCTTAAGGAGCTGCAAAGTTCCCTAATGGCTTGCATTTCCCACAAGTATATCCTAGGCCTTTAAAGGAAACCCCTGAAAACTGCTTCCCAAGGCAAAGAAATAAACACCTCTCAACCTGTTGCGATGAGGTATGTCTTCCTCTGCAGAGTACAGTACAATCTTCCATAGGAAGAGGATGGAGTTCAGGAATCTGTCACAGCTTTATAAATGCAAAATGTAGATCAGGAACAACATAAGGTATAAAATAACCTGAAAAAGCAACACCGAATTCTAGGAAACTTTTGCTGATCTGCAACTGTCTCTCCCATCACTGCTTATGCATGGAAAAAAAAACCCAAACAAAAGGCTCAGGGTAGAAATTTAACTTAAAACAATGGGAAAGAGAAAAATTACTGAATCTGAACAATCGTGGTCTAAGAATTAAAGCCCACTGAAATAATCTGGAGTGATCACTGCAAAGAAGAAAAAAAGCCCAGGTGAGCAGCTGGTTCTCTGCACATACGGAACCATTCAAGTTATTCCCCTCACCTACCTCAAAACAAGGAATAATCCCCTTCATCCCTCTCTGTTGAGCTCCTTTTCAGGAGGTGGGCCCTCTGCAAGTGATGGTTTTATGGAAGGCCCAGGTGCAAGCACTACAACTTGTTCAACATGGAGGAGTAAGTTGGGAGCGGGGGGGTGGGAAGAACAAACAAGGGGCATTAAGAACAGCTGAATTACCAACTATTTCAGAACACCACCTACAACAATTCATTCAGAACCTGTTTAATGCCCTTCCCCACCAGAGTCTGAGATTTAAAAAAAAGACTGATGATACGAAGCAGCCTTCAGGCCATCCCCACTCCCATGGAGTTATCACACACTTACCTGTAGCCCAGAGCACAACAAATTTTGTTACTGCCCCATCCCTGGCAGTGTTCAAGGCCAGGCTGGACACGACTTGGAGCAACCTGCTCTAGTGGAAGGTGTCCCACCAAGATGAGAAATGCAGCTACATCAATGACACCAGGTTTGGTTGGTTTTGGTTTTTTGTGGTTTTTTTTTGTTGTGCATTTTGGTTTTTTTGGGGGGAAGGTGTTTTGGTTTTTTGTTTGTTTTTTTTAAAGACTTCCATTTTCATAATAGTTTCCCCCCCCCCCCGGTAAGATTTATACAATAGAAGTTTCAACTGAAAATACTTCTTTCATGAGAGTGGAGCGAGCAGTAACTGCCATGTGTGCATTTCACAGTACATCACTATCTAGTAAAAAGGTGGACAATACCACAATATTCTCCTCTTATCCACTGACCAGTCTCATTCTATAGCAATGGAAGTGTTTTCTGCACAGGTATTTGCAAAGGAGCTCACAAATCAAACCTCTGCAGCTTACAGGTTCTACATAGAAATGCCCATCCCTGCAAGACTGTCACAGGACTATTTCAGCACAGTTTCCTCAACAGTTAAACTATTTAACACGTGGCAGCAAAATCTACACAGGTGCATACACAGGTACAGATGTCAGTACTGTAACAGTCCACATTCATGGATGTAGATCACTTCAAGTCTCTGCTACACAGTTGAAGATGGACACTGACAAATTGTCTCTGCTTTAATTCCACCTTGGAACTGAGTTAGCATACAGTTTGTTTTGTGCCCCTTCTCCCTCCCCCCCCAACCAGACTTACAAGTAGGGCAGGGCCCTAACACAGCAATTTAACAAGCTGACTCCAGATACCAGCTTCCTCCAGCACAACACACACAGACTGGTTCTTCTCCCAGCAAGAAAAGGCAGAAGCATTTTCAGCAGCAGTCCATTCCTGTGGGCACACAACTGGCATGCCTGCTCCTGCCCCCACTCTTTCCAAAGGGAA